TCTTATTTCTATTTCTTGTATTGTCTCATTTACTTTTTCTAGTTGCATGATTATTACTTCTTACTCTCTTCCTAAAACTTCTTTGATTTTGTCAGATTTTGTCTATGTTTTCTATGAAAGCAGCTCTTTCTAATACAATATACTACTGTCTTGCTAGAGTAATAATATTCTTATTAACATTTATTACTTTCGTGACTATTTTATCAAGATAATTTGCTAAACCTAGTACTGATACACTACTTTCTTGAATAATTTCTCTACCATACTCTTTGGTTATTTTCTTAATGAAGTGCTTAAAGCTTTCTGTGTTTCACATGTTATTTTAATCTTGTTTTATATACTCTGGTTTTTTCTATTTTTAATCTGTTTTCTTTGAGTGACTTTGTCTTTTTGACCAAATTCCCTAAGTTTTTTTCTGATTACCTGTAATTTTTTTAGTTTTTGTTATATATAGATTCTTTCTATTAGCTGACACATGACACATCTTGTTAGTTCCTAAATTAAACTTGTTTGTTTATACTGTTTCTATATGTTTGTATTACAATAACTAATCTGCAATTCAGAGTGATTTCAAATTCTCAAAATTTTCAAGAAAAAATTTTTTTGCTAAATTTTTCTGTTCCAAGTTTTTTGGTGGCCTTTCTAGTTGTTTTTTGCTTTTATTCTTTTAATACAATATATGTATTTTTGGTCTTCTTTCTTTTTTCTTAATGCTTTAGGTACTGTTTCTTAATAGATTTTTCGAGTTATCTTAGTTTTTTTTTTAGCTTCAAATTTGGTCAAAATGATCTGTGAGAAGAATTGTCAAATTGCATATTTGTATATAATAGACTATTACTAAACTAATAATAGTTTTTTATATAGTAAAAAAATATAAAAAATAATAAAAATTATATATAATAATAAATACTAAAATTAAATATTATATAATAAAACTACAAAAAGAAATTATATAATATGTAAAAAATACTTTGCAATATAGTAAAAAAAAATAAAAAAATAAAGAATAGTATTTTGCTTTTAGAATACTATATATTAATTATATATCTTTAATTAGAGATTATATAAAAATAGCTACTAAAATATATTTTTAATAGTAAATAATTTTTGAGTTAAATCTAATATATTATTATCAAGAGTATTACTAATTTTAACTAGAAGAAATTTTCTCTGTATAATATTAGCTAATAAATTTGCAGAATTAGATGTAATATATTATATAACAAAAATAAAGAAATTTTTAAAAAAATATTAATATCTCAAAATTTTGTCTATAAAACTACTTTTTGCATTCTAATAAAAAAAATTTCTTGCTAAATTTTGTCTATACTAATATCTAGATAAAATCTTAAGCTATACTCTAACTCTAAAGTAAAAGAAAAAAGTTTTTTTAAAATATAATTTATTAGCTAATTTCATATCTAATATAAAAGAAGAAAGAAATCTCTCTTGATTAAACATAGTTATTTTCTATTATCAAATATATAATCTAGTCATATACTTCTAACTTAAATAAATATTCAAGTATAACTTACTATTTAGTTAAAATATATATTATTATTGTTTAGTAGGCTAATATAATTATTCTCAAAATAAAATTAGTATAAATATTAATTTTTTAAAAGGAGTAAGTTAAATTTTTATTTTTTGTATAGCAAAAAAATATCTAGTATAGTTGAATTTAAAAGAGAGTTAAGAATTAGTTCTTTATAGTTTAGAAAATATATTACTAATATTATATTCTAATTTTCTATAATAAGTCTTTCTTGCTAAAATATTATACTACTAAAACATCTTTGCTTTTAGCTTAAATATCAAATAGTATAAAAAAGCCTACTAGAAAAAAAATTTAATCGTTACTAAAACTATAAAAAACTAAGTTTTTATTTATATTTTTATTTTAGTTAAACTTTTTATTTATTTATAATATAGTTTGCAATATAAATATAGGAGGCTGGTATTCGTACTTCCTAAATTTGGTATTCGTACCCCCTAGCAAAAAATAAAATTTTTTAAAGATTCAAGTAACGATATCTTGATGACCACCTAATCAAATTTAATGAACTTTTTTTTATTTCAATTTTATGAATTCATAGAATTCAAATAAAAAAAAATTATCAAAATTGATCAGGTGGTTATCGAGATAACTTCGCTCAAAGTTAAAAAAAATCAAAACATCTATCAAAATAGCTGTACTAAAATTTTTTAAAACTTTGAGTGAAGATATCTTGGTAACCACCTGATCAAATTTGATGAATTTTTTTTTATTTAAATTCTATGAATATATAGAATTTGAATAAAAAAAAATTTATCAAATTTGGATAGGTGGTTGTCGAGATATCTTCACTCAAAATTAAAAAAAAACAAACTGCCTATTAAAATAAAAGCTGTGCCAAAATTTTATTAAAACTTTGAGTGAAGATATCTCGACAACCACTTGACTAAATTCGATGAATTTTTTTTTTATTTAAATTCTATGAATTAATAGAATTTAAATAAAAAAAAATTCATCGAATTTAGTCAAGTGGTTGTCAAGATATCTTCACTCAAAGTTTTAATAAAATTTTGGCGCAGCTTTTATTTTTAAGGGTTATAAAAAAAAAAAAAAAAAAAAAAAACCAATTATTAAAATTTATTAGAAAATGTGACAACGATTAATAATATATATTAGCTAAATTCCGAATATTTATTGGAATACATAAAGACGGAATTTTACGTATTCATCAAATGTTTATTATGCTGTAAAATGAACACAAATCAATAACTACTGTATATAGAAGGGGGGGTACTTGCATATTTATTATTTATGCAAATATCTGCAAAAGAACTTTTCATTTTACCTTTAGTCCATTCAGTAACCCCACCCAGGGGTTACTACTCACCCGACAAATACCGAAATAATCCCATTCATTAATTCAATATTACGTAATTAAAGTATCAAATAATTAAAGAAGTATAAAATTTTAAAGGATAACACTGACTGTGAAATTTTGCGCAAATAAAAACACGTGATATTAGAACATAAACATAATTTTATTATTAATAATAGTTAATATTATATATTTTATTATGTAACGTTCGGTGAAAGAAATTGTTCAATAAATCATGGGAGATGAAGGATTAGTTATGAGATATGTGTATAATAAATGTGCATTTACAGTAGTTACAGTAGTGACGATAAAATAGGAGGGCATTAACATACATATACAAATTAGTTCCAATGGTTATTTATTCGTAATAATTTAGTTTGATTAACACTAAGTTTATTATTATTTACTATCGAAAGCAAGGCGATAAACACCTGCATTTATAATATTCAAAATTTTCTATCAGAAGAATGATTCACCTTAAATGCGGAAAGTGACAAACGTCTTGAGTGAAATTAATATGAAGAGCATGCATTAAAAGAAATAATATATTGGGCAAAATTAAAATCAGAAAATTTTATTTTATTTTTTCCGATTTATAAATTAACATAATAAAAATATTATTTAAAAAATCCTATTTAATTTTAAAATGCACTACGTACTTATTCCGGGAATCAATCAAATTCAGAAATTTCAAAAACGGAATGATATTAATATGGGAATTTTAGCAAATAACTACTTACATTTTCTACTCAAATAATTATGCATCGTTCCTAGAAAGGAATTATTCAAAGTTTCCTTTACGATTTTTACCCCCGTAAGATAAAAAAAAGAATTATAATTTCATTCATGTAAAATTTGGACCTTCGAGTTTCATAGATTTTTTTTTTTTTAATAAAGAATTCCTGAAACTATTATACTTAAGAAAATAAAGAGCCCGTCATACTCTCAGAGTGACTCAAATAATAAAGTATTAATTCTTAAACTATTACAAAAAGGAACATACAATATTGATCCTTCTAAAAATCGCCAAAATATATTACTAAGTATCAAAGGATCAGATCTAACCCGAAATATATAAATTAAACATTCATGACGGAATTATTTTAGATTAATGAATCTACATTTCTTCTTCTAATAAAAAAAAATATATTTGTTAATAATTTAGAATCTTTTTTTATAACGATAATTACTAAATTGGCTAAACCATCTCTCTTGAGTACGTATAAACAATGTTGCCATTTTCTGCACATTATGGAATCCTAACGACAAAATTAAGGCCTTAACTTGTTTAGTGCGTCATTATAAAGAATATTGTAAATTCGAAGGATTGTTCTACATAATTAACAAGTTATTGTAAAAAAATATATATACGTATATATAATCTTTAATCATTATGTTAATGCATTTTACACTTTAGGAAATGATTTCCCAATTCTTAATATAGTAATTAATAATCCATTTGGTGAATGATCATACGTATAGTTTTGGTGTACGCCAAACAAATAAGTGTACCCATCGAGTGATTCGATCGCGAACCCAAATAACAAAAATTCACCAATTACGTTATATTAATTATTAATCAATTCAATCATAATTTATTCGTCGCATGTGTGTCAAGTTTTTTCAAACTAATTTATCTCCTTAAAACTTCTACGTATCGTTAGTATATAAAAATACGACGAATTATATTTATAATTAATTTTACACAGTAATGTCAAACTAACTTAATTCGAAATATGTACATATCTTGAGATCTTTGTTTTTACTAATTATTCCTAATTTATAATCACGGAAAATTTAAATGCATATTTAGGATCTTTATCGGGTAAAATGGAATATTTAGATTTCATTGTTTATTATTTAATATATGGTGTCATAAACAAAAGAAATTTGACCAGAAATGATACATTAAATGCGCGATTATCGTGTCTTTTCTCTTTGAAAGTTTTTTTTTCTTTCCTTTGAGCCATTAATTATTAAAATTAAAATTAAATTAAATTAAAAATTATAAAATTATAAAAAAAAAAACATCTAAGTATATAAGCGTACATTGATGACCTTGACATATATATCTGATCTCACAATAATTACTGATAATTACTGTATAAGGCTAAAACTTTAATTTTAAAAATGGCAATTGAAGAAAATAACGAAAAGGACATTACTAATAATGAGTCGGCGGAAACTGCAAGTTATGATGATTATAACGATAAACTAATGGTGAAAAAAGTTGTTAGAAAAATTGATATTTATATATTACGTATGCTTTAAACTTAATTATTATATGGGGTCTTTGCCTTGAAAATAACGTTACATGATCCAATACTTGATTTTCAAAGCAAAGACCCAATATGTATATATCGGGGGGGTTTTTTTTTTATATAAAAATTTAACTTAATTCTTCTTAATTCTTTTAATTAGCAATATGTGTCTTACTATACTTATTCTTGTTGATCGATCGTACCAACATAGGAAATGCCATTGTAGCGGGATTTACTAATACTTACTTAAATTCCACTGCTTTTGAGCTCAATTTTGCCATATCATCATATATTTTTGCTTATGTAATATTTGAAATTCCTTCAAGTTTCGTATCAAAAATATTGGGTTTTCATGTTTGGATTCCTATTTTATTGGTAGGCTGGGCTATTTGTTCTATGTGTCAAGCCGCAGTTACCTCCGCACTTACATTAGGAATTACTAGATTCTTTCTAGGTTAGCTTAATATAAATTATTTATAATAATAAATTTTACTAAAAAGATTATTAATTCAACTAATTATTTTTATTTATTAATATAGGTGTGGCAGAAGCCGGATTTTCTCCTGCTGTAATAGATTATATCTGCCTATTTTATTCCAGAAAAGAGATGACTATGAGATATGGAATTTTTATGGCTCTAAGTATCATTTCCGGTGCATTTAGTGGCCTTATTGTAAGTTTTTTTTTTTTTTATGTAATTTTGTTTAACAATTCATTTGACATCTACAGTAAATTTAATTTATTAATAACATTTATTCTATTTTATTAAAGGCATATGGCATAGTTTTAATAAAAGGATTAAAAATAAAAAGTTTCCAATTGATATTTATATTAGAAGGTATCCCAACTATCATTCTTGCCATAATTGTTGCTCTATTCTTTACTAAAGGTCCTGCCGACGCTCGTTTCCTCACACCTAAGGAACGCCTTTTCGTTGTCGAACGTCTTAGACCAGATGGTGGTGTTGATGAAGAAAATCATACTGTAATAAAATCTCAAGCAAAGAGCGCTTTTTTTGATATTAGAGTTTACGGTTACGTATTTGCTGCTGTTGTTGGATCAATTCCTAATAGTGCTCTTAGTTATTTCCTTCCAACTTTAGTGAGTCAACTAGGTTTTGATACTGTACAAACTCAATTAATGAGTGTACCACCATATTTAGTTGCAACTGTTGTAATGCTTTCATTTTCTTGGTATGCTGATAAATACCAATCAAGAGCTTTACCTATTTTGATTAGCGATATTATTTCAATTATAGGAGCTACTGGCATGTTAACAACTTCTGCTACAGATCCAAGTTTATATAAATTAAGATACTTTTTCGTAACTCTTATATCATGTGGTGTGTATTCTGCTCAGCCAATTATTTATAGTTGGATAACTTCCAATATTCGTAAGTATACTTTTCTTCAGATATCTTGTAAAAAATATTTTTAAAAAAAATATTTATTAAAAAAAAAATATTTATTAAAAAAAAAATATTTATTAAAAAAAAAAATATTCGTTAAAAAAAAAAATTCTAATCTTTATTATATATTAAATTTCAAAATAGTCGGTCAATATAAACGAAACATAACAATTGCTGTAGGCTTTACTCTCGCTAATGTTGGGAGCGTTGTCGGAATTTTACTTTTCCAAAAAACCATGGCTCCAGCATACACTCAAGGAATGATCTTAGCCTTGAGCATGATGGCTGTTCAATTCGTAATAGTTGTTATTATGAAATTTCATTTAGAACATGAGAATAGAAGACGTGACTTACTTATATTATCCAATAATAATATTCAACTAAGTGAAAGTGAATTAAAGGATAATAAATTAATTAGAGAAAAGGCCATGAAAATAGTGGAATATGAACCGAAATTCGATGAAGTTTTGTGCGATAACCATCCTAATTGGAGATATTATCCTTAAAGAAACAAAAACTTTTTTTAAATTATTTAACAATTTTCCAGAGTGAAAGGGAAATTATTAGACTCGATTTTCGGTAATATAAGATACAATCTTTCGAAGTTAACTTAAAAAATGCTCCAGATTTTAATATTTACATTCCCTACTTTATTCTTATTGCAATTACATTGTGATACCTTGTTAAATTAGTAATTATTCTATTAATATTCTTACTTTATAATAATATATAAATTCTACTTTTTATTATGTTGAATATTTTAATTCAATATATATAATTAAGCTAATATTTTGTTTTATTTATTTATTTATTTATTTATTTTTTTTTTTTGCAAGACTTTATGTAGAATCACGAAAATTGTATCACAATAAATAAAGAAAATATCATTAGGTGTGAGAAAAAAGATCTTTTATTTATATCTAAAGAAATTGTTGTTTTGGATATCTGTTTATCATATTACTTTTTTAGCAGGTTATTGAATAATGATTAGAATTTTGCGTTACTTTAACCCGTAACTTTATTTAATTAGATGAAACCTAAATACCTGCTTTTTTCACCGACAACAATTATTAAGGTTAGGGTTGGCCAGATTTATAGCTAGTGTTGGCTACACATTTATTGTCGGTGAAATGGCTGTTAAATTTCGAAATACCAAAATTTCAAGTCTGAATTTTCTTATAATTATTTTTATATTATCCACGAATCGTTTAAAAAATCATTCGGATTCTTAATTAAAATTAGAGCTTGTTTAAGCCTTGATGACGAAGTCACCACAGATGAAATTCTAGTTTATTATATATACATTGTGTGACATTAAAGGAGAAGCTTCTAAATTAGTTGCTGTCCACTAAGGATTCTAAATATATAGTATTCTTTACATAAGAATCTTCTAGTTTCACTGCGTCATTCGAGTAACTTCATTTAGTCTTTGTATCTTATCGTACCCAGGTTCATAAGACTCGGTTGTATTAGAATCCTAGTAATATAATAAAAGTAAATCATAAATAAAGTGGCGCCGATACTCAATATTCACTGGTTAAAGAATTGATTTTTACTGGCACTTAATAACAATAAATATGTTAATTAATTAACTGTTAACAAAATTTAACATATTTAATGTAATTAAGCGAATGTTTATTGCATTTTTTCCCAGTAAAATTTATCTTTTTTGCCTATAAGCAACCAAACATGATTAAATTAATGTATCTCTTGATGCTATAATCATTGTAATCTCGTTATTTTTGAATCTTGTCCAAAACGAAAAGGCTTGTATCGATTGTACAGTATAATAAATACCTTTAGACACAGAATATCATTAATGTCATAATGCTTTCCGGAGTGCTTCCCCATAAAGTACCTATCCGATACCGATATGTCTCAAAAGCGAAATAATATTGAAGCCGATTTAAAAAAAAATCAAATGGCTTAGCCTTTATTCCCCATTATGGCTGGTTTTTTTTTCTCTTATTTGCCTCAAGTTAATCGACTTTCTCTTCAAGTCTTACTACTATTTCAATTAATGACAAAACTGCATTAAACATAAAAAATGAAGTTGAACTAAGAATAAAAGATAATTAATACAATAATTTCTCAAGTGCTGATTATAACTACCTCCTTGATTTATTTTTCCAATTTTCTTATTGGGCGTATGTTATTTAATAATTGGAAAATAAAAACAAAATTTTATAGGACATTTTATTTGTTGTTGCATACGCATAAAATATAGAAGTCAAGTAATAAATAAGGGTTATATTTAAAAAATTTTCTAATAATTCAGTAATTGTTGGGCAATAAGTAGGAAAAAAGAATGAATAATATTCATCTAATTTTTTAGTTAACGTATGTCAGAATTTATTTTTTCAATAATACTATGAACTTCTTCCGTCATGTTCTGTAAATTCAAAGATATGACATAATCAAAGATCAGGTAAGATAAAATAGAAAACGATCTTTAGCAAGTCTTTGCCAAGATATTCCACCTTCATGTTGTTGCATACGTGCCAAATATAGAAGTCAAGTACTAGATAAGAGTTATATATTTTAAAAAAATTTTCTAGGCTATAAGTAGAAAAAAAAGAACGAATATCAATTTTGATTCTTAGCACTTAGTATTAAGGTGATAATCGGTCTCACAAAAATTTCACTAGCTAATCAAATTACAAGATCAGATGTAATGATACTTGACAAAACTATTTTTGCTCTGCGAAAGGTTTCGTCATGATTTCGTCTGGCAAACTCTTGGTGATTAACTAAACCCTTGACAATTGACGAAACCCTTGATGAAACTCTGAAGATTGATGCAACATTGACGAAATAATTAGCACACTCAAGAACAGTTAACTAATTAATATGATATCATTTGTTTACTAGCACTAATAAATCAGTCTTCTAACCCTAACCCTACTTAATTTTGGCTGAGTGTCATATGAAAATCATAGAGTTAACTTACTCAAAAATTTAATAATAATAATAAATAAATAAATAAAAAACAAGAAAAAAATTTTAGTAAGTATTATGCTTTTTAAACTGGTATTGAACACTTAGTTTTCTTGGTAACACAGTATCAATTAATATTTAATAAAATTTAAAATATTTATTATTAATAAAACTAAGGTAGATATGCCTTATTTGACGTAGTGTCTAATTTGACAAGGTTGTTACGGGCTGTTCAGTTGTCCCCCACAAAATGTTACAGGTAAATTGTAAGTCACCACCAAGTGTTACGGGTGATTTGTATGCTTTCTTTAGGCTCCTCACCAGATGGTGATCTGAGAAGTGGAATTCGGGAGCCAGTCAAAATCCCGACAAACAGAATTTCGAAAAGGTTAAAATCCTGACAAACAGAATTCCGAAAAGGTCAAAATCTCGACAGATTAGCCTGCATTAGGGTTAGGGTTAGAATAGTGTTAGTTAATTTTTGTCGGGATTTTGACTCAAACCCGTGGAATTTAATAATTATGATCAATCTTATATGCCTTTACCTCGCACATAAAAGTCATTACCAACCTAAGTTGTTGTAATGTTCTTTATATAGTTTATTAAATTTATGTGGAGGAGGCTTGGATTCTTCTATTGTATGATTTTATCATATGATTATTGTCATGTCATTTCTTGGGGGCTTGATTCAAATAACTTGTATGCAAGTCAGATGGGGTGACACATAGACAAGTTTTTGGAGTTTATTCTGATCAACACGTTGTTGGGATCTAAACAGGTCTCTGAGTCAAAACTACAGCACATCATTAATTTTTCTATTTTTATTATATTTTTAATTTATCTAAAATCTGTTTTATCTAAGAGTATGTATGTGGGGCTTGTGAGAATGGAAGGATGTAGCTTAATGACAAATTAGAGATTTACTTAGCAGATTACAACATATGTTACAGGCTATGTAATGGATTGGCTAAAAAAAATCAGAATATATATGTATACATTATTGGGCAAAAATTTTCGAATAACGGTAATTTGGCAAATGAACATATGCCACAAAGTGGCACATGTAGCCAATCATTTGTCAAATTACCATATTCAAAATTTTGCAATTAATAATCATGAATAGTAGGGAGTTGTTTGCTGAGTTTTAATTTGAATAAACATAATTATTATTAAACATGAAAACAATAACAGAAAGAAATAAATTTATGATAATATGAGTTTGTTAGATAAATGATATTATTCAGAATGTATATATGATAATAGTAAAACATATATACAATCATATTTAAATATATATGTTCAGATCTGCAGTCACTCTGTCTTATTCTGAAGCTTAGTACCTGATATGAACTGAAAAATAGAACTCAAAACTCTTAAACAGAACTCAGAAACTGTTAAAACAAGAGTAAGTGCTTTTGTTTCAAAGAAGTATAGCTAAAAACAGGCTAATATAGAGAAAAACAATCACAATAGAACAAAGATACAGGAAAAATACTTGTAGCTAGAGTTAGAAGTATATTTATAAGCTTTAAGCTAATAATAAATAAAGTGCAATAGTTTTTTACAACAATAGACCTAAGATATTTCAACAAGTACAATATGATGATACAAAACTAAGCAGATGTAATAGATATAGAAAACACTATGCATCTAAATAGTCAAAATACAAGTTCTTCTTTAACACAACAGAATACTAAGAAAAATTTTATAGATAATAACATAGAACCTTCCAGAAAGTGTCTTGAATTATGATCAAATAATAATACGACTAATAGTTTTTTTTTTTTTTTTTATTTTTTAATAATGTCATAGTCAAAACTTTATTTTCAAAAAAATTAGAACATAAGTTCTATATTAAAGATTTCAAAACTACATTTGTGTTACATAAGTTTAACTTTCAGTTAA